CAGGAATGTGCCTCTCGTTCACGGATTCTGCTCTGCACAGGTCTTGCTCAGTTAAATACATTGAGCGTTCCCAGGATAGCCTTGACAAGGCTGGGGAATGAGACATGGAGGAGATTAATCAATAAATCTTATGGGGATCCATATTTCAGAGGAATTTACAAACCACATGCCTCTGGTTGAAGTACTGTTATAATAAAAGGAACTTTCCAGTAATTCACAAAAGCTCAGTGGGACACAAAATCCTTCTATAAAGGCAATGCTGCTGAGTACCCAGCAGCTTTTCTTGAACTCAAATGAGGGTCAACACTATCAAAGAGGGTGATTGTGACCCATGGGATTAAATGAAGTAATAGATGAGCAACTTAACTACCTTGTTCCTCAAGAAGTCATTTATATCTGCAACTGGGAAGAAGAGCTAGTGCTCCAAATGTGACCAGCCTGAGAATGCTGTGGCTGGGATGTTGCACTTCTGCGTTTCATTCTCTAACAAAGGTGCTAAAGAGAGCTTTAACAACTTCTAATGTACATGGTGTGTTTTAATTAATCCTGTTCCTGCTTTTGTGTGCAAACTCCCGAGTATGATTTTTCTCATTTTTACTGGTTTTACACCAAGAGTCATCTACTCAGGGCACATATTCCTGTATATAATTTAATTTAAATCGTTATCAAATATCAATTATTCTGTTTGGGAACGGGGGGTGCCATCCAGGAAGGTTTATTTCTTCAGATTAGACAAGTGCTTAGAATCCTACTAGCTTATATATTCTTTTTGAATTGGTGAATTCAACTAGTCTTAGACACAGTGATGCTGGGAACGTTTTCATGCCACACTTGTTCATGATGTACCAATTTACTGTACTGCTGAAGCACTTTGATTGTCACCTCTTCTAAAAACCCACAAAACTCACGGATGAAGTCTGAATTTTGTTTCCACTTTAATGTTGCCTAAAATAACCCCAGAACGCATCGGACGAAGCAGAGATCATAAGCAACGAAAAAGCAGACGCCTCTTTAGAAGCTGTGACTCCTGACAAAGAAGAGAGGAAAAGCCCCGAAGTCGCAGAAGTGAAACCTAGGCGAGAGGAAAGTAAAACTCCCAAAGCCAACCTGCGCAAGTTCTTTAAGCTGGTGAGTGAGACTCGGTTTCCAGAGTTTCAGCGATGTGTTCACCGCACGGCTGGGGCTGGGGGAGAGGGGCTGGTTAGTGAGCAATCCCTTGGCAATAG